AAACAACAAAAACGTCACGGGCACCAGATAAATACAAAATGAACGAAGAGAGATCAAACAAAGAGAACAGTAAAACTAGACAAAGAAAACAAAACAAAAGAAACACAAAAACAAGAAATCACAGAAAATGAGAGAAACGCTGAAAATAAAAGGAATAGGCGCACAAAATAAGTCCTAAACCCTCCCCGGCAACGGCGCCAATTTGTTGTAAATATTTTTAACCGGAGTAGAATCGAAAGATTCGTCACCGGGTCGTATCACGAGGAAGGTTAGCCAGATTATTTGTACGGATATTCGATCACAAGAAAAGAGAAAAGAATTTCCTAAACACTCTAATTCAAGTTGGAGATTTGATTTATCAACTACGAATAATAAAGCAAATAGACACGGAATTTCAAAGCAAATTATTTACTTTATTATAAAGGAGTTAGGGAGTCGGGGACAATTGTTTTCGGTTCTTGACTCAATTTCCGGGCAATCAATTGCTCGGTTAAGGGGATTGAATCGCCTATTCGTATAGAGGTTCACCTTCAATAACTCTTCGTAACAAGAAGGTGGACGTACACGAGCAACTCATCAAACCCTACAACACACAGACAATACAATAACGAACAAGTCTATTCCAAACGAGCCTAAATCGACCGAAGCCTCCCCTCTCGGTTCTAAACGTCAATTGATTAGGTTAGATTGGTGATCAATCAACTAACCCTAGAATATGCACAACTCGCAAGGATTGAACAATTATCAAACACGTAATTGAAAACGAACCGAAACAATCGTCCCCTATCCCTAACTTATGGAATTAGCCACTCATCACAACATCAACACAAGCATTCACCATAAAAGAAGCCATCACATTCATGTATAAGATGAAAAGAAAAGCTTACGATTAATACCAAATCCAAAGTCGATGAATCAACGAGCAAACCGAATCCAAAGCTAGAAAATGAGTTTAAATCCTCTAAAAATCCAATCCAAGATGAAAGATTGAGAAAAAGTAATGTTCTAGGGTGAAAAGATTAAGAAAAACGAGGTCTGAATCTGGTCAAATCCGCCCTTTCTCGATCATAAGCCTTTCCATTTTTCAAATCCCAAGAAAAACGCAGCAGTTACAAAACGGACCTTAGCGGCGCTAAGGGGTTAGCGCCGCTAAGCCATGTTAGCTGCCCGTCTCAGTACGCGCATAATACAAAAGCGCCGCTAACCAAAGGGGCCTTAGCGGCGCTAAGGCCTTAGCGGCGCTAAGGTCCCGCTGTCCAAAATTTTGGCCTTCTTCTCTACAGCTTGCTCGGCTACGTCTCTCGGGTACTGCCCGAGCTGGGAATTCCATCCTCGCATGCTTTGGCCCACAGAAATGCTGCTCAAATCATCCACTTCTTATCATGTTTGAACACTCGCCAGCCCGATCAACCTACAACCTGAAATCGCACCACCGGACAAAACGCGAAAAACAGAGAAAATAGGAGGAAAAAGCAACAGAAAAACTATACAACCTAAAATGAAAATAAAAGCATAAGAAAAGACTAGACGGACCGAAAAGACCTAAGAAAAGACCTAAAACGGGGGAAACGAAATACAAAATATCAAAGAAAATAGTAACAAAAACGGGACAAACATGTACCCATTTGGTCACATGTGTAATTCCAATGAGGGTTGATCCCGACTTTATTTTGGCTCTAGTAGTGTCATTGACATCTCAGGTGTACTATTTTTTGAGTTTTTAATATATATTTATCGTTTCGAAAAAAAAAACATAATATTAGCTGTAAGGGCATGCACAAAGCCTTGAGCTATTGTCTAGAGCTATTAAACGCAACGAATCATTCGTAAGTGTGGTTCGACTACTTAAATTTGAGATTAGCTTGTTTAAGGCATGTGAGCTTTTTTTGTTAAGACTCGAATATATGATTTATTATATAATTTTCTATGCGGACATCAAGGCTCGAACTCAATTAATTAATATTAATAAATACTCGAACTTAAACTCTATTACTTAGGCTATGTTTGACAAAAGTAGCTGATAGGCTAGTTGATAGCTGATAAGCTAGCTTATAACTTATTAGTAATTTTTCGAGTTTATAGCTTATAGCTTATGACTTATAGCTGATAAACTAGCTTATATATAAAATTGTTTGGTAAAATTAGCTGATAAACTAACTGAAATAAAAATTTCAACAAATTTATTTGAAAATCTAACCAAAGAAGCTTATCAAATAAGCTCGAGCTTTTTAAAAAAACTCGTTCTACCAAACGAAACTTATTTGAATAATGAGAGCTTATAAACTAATCAAATAAACTATAAGCTAACTTATTTGTCTACCAAACATAACCTTAGCAAGCAACATTGGGCTCGGCTTAATAAAGGGTCGTGCCTGAGCTCTGCTCATCCATTTCTACGCATGGCCCATTAAAGGCAGGAAATGCTAAGCTTAGGATTATTTTAAAAGGGCAATGCTATATGTACACCCCCTTTTAATAAATTACACAAAGAAAAGTGCTATATGTACACCCCTTTTTTACACTTGAGGGGGTGTACATATAGACACCCCCTTTTAAAATACTTTTCTACGACCCGTTCAAAACGGGCCTCCCATCTCACAATTAGGGAGTTCTATATCATGGCCCAGTAAATAATCGCGAGGAAGGCCCAATAAGATTTGCTTTTTTTCTAGAGCGAGAAAAGCGTGTAGAGAGAGAGAGAGAGGAGCGCGGTTCAACGGCAGCATTTCCCGGCTAAATAAGGCATTCTCCATTAATGGCCACTCAATTTCTTCTCTCACCATTGTTGTTTCCTTCAATTAACCATAATCCTTTTCTCCTCTCACCATTTCCTTCTCATTCATCCCCCCTTTCCCCCCCATTTGAATGCAGAAGCTTTTCCGGTTAGGGTTTGGGTCCGAGTCGGCCGAATCTATCTCCTTGTTGCAGCTCTGATTAGGGGAAGAACATTGCAAAATTTCGAAGATTGTGTGTACGCTCCTTTTGCGCGCATGGTCTGCGTATGTGTGTGATTGGGAACTTGGTGACTGCCCTTTGCAAGATCTGGGATACCAGAGAGCGAGAAGTGTAGGTGAAGAGTTAAAGAAGAAGAAGAAGAAGAATGAGTGCTTCAAGATTCATCAAGTGTGTGACGGTGGGTGATGGCGCCGTCGGCAAGACGTGCCTTTTGATTTCCTACACCAGCAACACCTTCCCCACGGTCTGATATTTTGTTTTCTTTTCTTGGTGGTGTTTATATTTGATCGCACTATTATTTGACATGAGAAGGGATGAGATTATTTCTGTTAATGTTGTGGTTAATAATATTTTGTCTCCTTCAAGCATTTTGATTGAAAATGAAGAGGGTATCTGGGCATGGATGTCAGCATTTGATTGAGACTGATTTTTTTATATTGCTGTTTATATGCCGGTGGTGCTTAAGGAGAAATTATAAGATATCCTTCAGATTCTTGTACGGGGACTGTTCTAGAGTTAATGTTGTGGTTCATAATATTTTGTTTCCTTCAAGTATTTTGTTTGCAAATGAAGAGGGTATCTGGGCATGGATGTCAGCATTTGATTGAGACTGATTTTTTTTATATTGCTGTTTATATGCCGGTGGTGCTTAAGGAGAAATTCTTAGATATCCTTCAGATTCTTGTACGGGGACTGTGATTTGGCTCATATTTTAGAAAAATCAGGAGATTGACACGTCTTCATATATGTCTTGTGAATGATGGCAGAGTGAATTGTTATGTTGTTTTCTCATTCTACGAGCGTCCCATAAAATTGGGTGCAAGTTTTTGGGGAAAATTTGTGTCTTCTGATTTGGTGTTCTAATTTTGTAACTATTTATGGTTTGGCCACTATCATTTCTTTTCCAGAATTACATACCATGTAAAGTTGCAGTTACACATGAGTCTCAATTGCTTTACAACCGGTGAATTGTATTTTAGCGTAGGTTGACATCTCCCTCACCTTTTATCGGAACACTCCAAGTATCACAACTTGGATTGTTAACAAGCTTCTGTGCAAGTTATGCAGTTTCACATGTAAACAAGCTTCAGACGAGCTTTGTTGCATAACATCTGCATCTTCAATTTGAAGTTGATTCATATCTTATATGGAGCTGTGTTCTCTCTATTTTCATTCTAATTTATAGATTGTTTTTGACTTTTTTTTTTTTATTTATTTGTTAAATGAAACAGGACTACGTGCCCACTGTATTTGATAACTTCAGTGCAAATGTGGTCGTTAATGGGGCCACTGTTAACTTAGGCCTGTGGGATACTGCTGGTAATCAATAGAAAGGCCTTTTTTGACATCTACATTTTCTAAGATCCTATACATACATTCATGTTGATAGTTTTAGTTGTGTGTGCATGCATATATATATTTTTTTTAAATTTATGAATTGAAATACTTCCATCTGGAACAGGGCAGGAGGACTATAACAGATTAAGGCCTTTGAGTTACCGTGGAGCCGATGTTTTCATTTTGGCATTTTCGCTCATCAGCAAGGCTAGCTATGAAAATGTCTCCAAGAAGGTGAGGTGACAGTTTGATTGCTTGGAATGTATTTCCATTCATCTCTTATTATTGAAAAAGTTTTTTGCATTGCATATTTTTGTTATCGAGCTTATTTATTATGTTTTTCTTACAGTGGATTCCAGAATTGAAGCATTATGCACCTGGTGTCCCTATAGTTCTAGTTGGCACAAAACTTGGTGAGAGTTTTGATTTTAAGTTCTAGAACAGTTTCTTCCTCAATATGTACTACTTCAAACCTGTTCCTGCTGTTATTAAGAAACATTACCAGTTGCATCTGTTCAAAGATATGTATTTGAAACAGATATCTTGTTAATTTCAAGCTTCTGTACTTACTCTGTTGAAGTGTGCAAAGATGGAAAGGAAGCTTCCGTAGTCAGTGTTGATGCACTTAGATTCCACATATAGCTGGAATGTTATTACAAACTAGGATAGAAATTGTTAGTGTTCGCAAAATATTTTCACTACCCGCAAGTGTACGGAGTAGCTGCAGAAAGCGGCGAGCAAGGTCGTAATCCACAGAGACTGCTGTAAAACTAATTAAGTACCAAAATATAGACGACTAAATATTATCTAGACAAATGCAAATTTGATTGGAGTTTTTATTCTAAACTAATGAATGAATGCAAAAATAAATTCTAACACTAATGAAGGCTTATTCTAAATAAATCAAGTATGAGAAAATAGATTCTAGGCTATGCTTTCCTCGGGATTATTCTAGCAAAGTTTTCTTATTCATTCAAACCTTATTTAATTCTACCAATCGTAGGGACAATCGCTAAAGTGATTTCAACCTTTCTCTCGAACAAGCAAATCGTAGATATTAATTGCTATCTATCTCCTCTCGGTCTCAAGATGAACAACTAACTCCCATAAGCTCCTAAGATTCTAGTTCCCTCGCAAGATCCTATCAACCTCTCGGTCTGTTTAGCCTCTTACGTTATGAATTTCCCAATTCTAGCAATCAATTATCTCCTCTCGGTCTCAAATCAATTACAAGTATGCATTCATAGCGGCCGTCTACTCACACAATAATAATAAGCACAAGAAATCGACAAACAAAAGATAGACCGGAATGAATAAACAAAATCACTTCATAAAATAATCCGAGTACTCGCAAATCCTAGAATCTCAAAGAGATTTAGCTACTAAACATATTCTCAATACTCAAAATAAATAAATCCATGAGTTCAATGAAGAAGAAAAAGAGAAAAGAAAGAAGAACTATTGTTTCCGTTAGTTCCCGGATCTTCAATCTTGACTTCCTCGAATCCCTCGTGTGTTTCGTGCTTTCCCTAGGCCTCCAATGGTGTCCAAAAGTCCCAGAACCGTGTTCCTCATGTCCCTTATATACTGTAGGGCAAATATGGCTTGAAAAAGGGTCAAAATCGCGTAGGTTTCCTAATTCCCGCTGGACTGTCTGCGCGTCACACGAGTCGTGTCACTAGCCACACGAGTCGTGTGACTTTTCTCCAACTTTCTGCCAACTCCCAGACTCACACGACTGGTCACACGACCGGGTCACACGACCCGTGTGAGGTCACACGACCCGTGTCACTTACCACACGAGTCGTGTGACAAAGCCGAAGCAAAATTCCACAAGAGCTCGATTTTTCTCACCCCACACGACTCGTGTCACATACCACACGAGTCGTGTGACCCTGACTGCACCCTATTTTTGCCGTTTTTCGTCCCGATTCCATCTTTAACGCTTTTTCGGGCATATTTCCTGCAAAACCAACGACAACTATACCTCTATCATAGATTAATAAATCAAACGAAATGGTGCGCAATCCCACAATAAACACGGTCAAACATCACACTATATCACTCATAATGCATGAAAATATGATGAACATCAGTTAGCTGAGTGTATCTTCTGATTGCTGGTATCCGATACTTGGAGTAGGTTAAAAAATAGTGTTATCAGAATGTTGTAAGCAGTAGCAGCACATTGTTGTCTTTTTAACTAGTCCTCTTGCTAAATGATTCAAGACATTAAAATCTTCTGGTCAGTATTCATTCAAGTCACTGTCTTAACTTTTACTTTCGGTATTTTTCTGCTTTTGATAAGTTAAATGTAAATTAGAACAAGCATGGATTAGGCTTAGGGTAAGTATATATTGTAATTTGCCTATATCTATATCCATTTATCATTACTTCCAGAAAAAGAAATTGCCATTTGTATTATGCCTTTGTTTCATATCCTTCTTGATGAATCAATCTCTACAAATTTATAGGTGGAAGCCTCTCAGAACTGTTGTAATAGTTATTATAGGATGTAAGGCAGGAGTTCTTCTCATTCTTGTTCATGTTATCTCTGTTATTTCTATTTGCATATTAAAAGTTTAAACTTGAGGATAACCGACCCAGATGCATGTGTTTGATTGATTGGCCGCATGTTAAAGAGAATATGTATATTATTGATCACATGTCTAAGAGATTCATCTAGGATTTTGTTCTCTTACTATTTTTCTTTTGTGATTGATGAGTCAAAATTAAGCACGAGTTGTTCATTGGGGGCTTTTTTTTTTTTTTTCCAATAACTCTTTGATTGATTCAGATCTTCGGGATGACAAGCAGTTCTTCATTGACCATCCAGGAGCTGTACCTATAACTGCAGCACAGGTGATGTATTCTACTTCCCGTATATCAATCTTTTTCCTATTTTATTGTTATTAAGCTCTTGAGTTGTTCAACATTATGTTGTCTTACTTCATACTTCCAGGGGGAGGAGCTGAGGAAATTGATCGATTCTCCATCTTACATTGAATGTAGTTCAAAATCACAGGAGGTTCGGTTGTAATTTAAACTTCTGTTGCATTTTCACGATGTGTAACGCTCATTTCTTAACTAGTTCATCTGACATATATAACTTCTTTTTTTTTTGTCTGTACTTCAGAACGTCAAATCAGTTTTTGATGCAGCCATTAAAGTTGTTCTCCAGCCACCCAAGCAAAAGAAGAAGAAAGGCAAGGCTCAAAAGGCCTGCTCCATACTGTGATCGGCATTAAGTGTCAAGATACATAATCGGTCAATCATCATCTTCTGCACCATTTTGTCTCTTTCCTTCTTTTAACCGCCTCCGAAGTAATTAGTGATCTATACTTCAAAGAATCTTGGTTGCAGCTTGAATTCTTCGTGTACTGCCTTTTCATCCCTAATCTGCTAAGTCAGTCGCGCTTTAGGACCAATTTGCTGTGCCCTGTCCTGTTTTGATTCGTTTTTCTTTTATGCATTCAATAGACAGAAATTGTGATGTTTGGCTATTGTTCGTTGGTTCTTATAATTTCTGTTGGAATTTCAAGTTTTGGCAAAGTTGTAAAGGGATTTTCATTCACACACATACACACACACACACACATCTACCAATCTGCTATATAATTAGACAACACATTTATTTTTAGTAAGTTTTTAGTTGTGTGGGTCTGATGATGTGCTTTCTATTTTGGGGAAGTCTTGACAACCTGCGTGGATCATATTCATAGTTGTGTTACATCGAAATTATCATTTGCTGCTGGGATTTATATTTTTATATTTATATAAATACAAATATACAAATACCATTTTAATTGACCAAAATTTACTTTATTTAATAATTTTTTTTTTTAAAAAAAATGTAGACCTTTAATTGTACGAAAACATGTCATTCAGAATTAGAGACAATTAAAATTTCTTAATGTACGAGTGAGACGGGCAAATATTAAAATAATTACAAATATTTGTGTTAGTCTATTAGTTAAACAGTCATATACTTTAATAAAAAAAATAGAGTGAAGATGAAGATAAAGCCTTGGAATTAATCGTTGGATGTCGTTATGAAGGAGCTCGGTAGTTTTTTCCGTGCACGGTGCGGATTTCGGTCTGGGAAGGGCCCGAAAGGTGAAGACATTGTCGATCGATAGGGAGAAATACGAGATGTCGGTTTGTAAGCCGAGGGGATTGTGACCGAAAGGTGAACACAATTATATTATGAAATGTCATAACTTAATTTATGCTGTATTTTAAAATATGACATATAAATATGAAATGATGCATGTTTAAGAAAATAGTTCTCTAATCATTAGCAAATTTAACAAAATTAGAAGAATATAGGTGTACCAGAATCATTATAATAGGGTTGGCAAGAACTCATATATATGCTTATTTTTTTCACTTGGGTACATTGAAGCTTTTTCTTAATATAAGATTTTAGGGCATCATTAGTCTAAAAACACATCTCATTGAATTGAAAACAAAAAAGAACACATATATTTCAAAAAAATAAAAAATAAATTGAAAGATAGAAGCCAAAATTATAGAAAATAGATCATTCATAAACAAGGGAAATACTATGGTACCGTGACGGAATCATCCGGTCGGGAGTTATAACCGTTGGATACACATGTAGTTAGTATAAGATAGATAATCTAACGGTTAAAATACCGGACCGGATGAATCCGTAACGGGATCATATCATTTCCCCATAAACAATTCCTTCAAAAGTCAAAAGACAGGAGAAAAAAAAAGAACATTCATTTCATCCCAAGTCCACAGCAAAGTGAAAGAAACAACAAACCATACATGAAACCATTGACAAACTCATGACTCAAAAGCCCTTTAACCCATCACTAAACAAACCTGCAAAAACATCCATTACAACCTTAGGCAGAGACAGACCAATCTCCAAACCTCCTTCAACATCCCTCGGCTTGCACAACGACATCGCGTATTTCTCCGCATCGATCGACAGAGTCTCCACTTTCCGGGCCCTCCCCAGCCCGAAATCCGCACCGTACAAATCGACCCTATTCGATCCGGACACCGAAAAAACGCGTCTCCCGACTATCGACCGCATTTCTTCGATCCGATCCTCGAGCCTCTCCAAGACTCGATCTTTATCATTCACCACGTTTTTCACCTGCTCGGCTATTGCCTGAGCCGCCAGAAGAAACCCACCAGGCCCAATGAGCTCTTCGTGGCGGGCCCTCCCAAGCCCGCCCGACAAGCAGTTACCAAAGTAGTTCCCGGGCACAGGTGGGTCAACCCGGGCCCGGATATCAGCTGTAAACATGAAAAATTCCACATCATCATCATCATCAGCAGCAGCACCACCACCACCTACTCGACTTTTCGCAAGACACGTCCAGACGTAAGCTGATGTCACCACAAAAGACGACAGGTGGGCAAAGCCCGGAACCTTGGCCAACACAAAATCCTTGAGTTTCTCTATTTGGGCTCGACTAAGAATGTATGTGGCCCGAACCCTTTCCGTCGGAAGGGGAAAAGGAGAAAGGGTCAATGGCTTTCTTTTCACTTGGTTCCAAATGAAAGAGCCGAATCCACGCGGGTCCTTAATAACCGACCGATCGAAAACCGGAAGTGAATCTCCGCGAGATTCCTCGGCTCCATCGAGCTTACACTTCGAAGCCCAAGCCCGTATAAATCCCACGATCGAGCTTGCATCGCCGGCCACGTGGTGATTGGTTATACCAATGCACACGCCGCGGCCCGGAAACAGAGTTACTTGCAGGGCAAGCAACTGGAGAAGCTTCCGACCGGACTTATCTGTTGCTATATCCGGCAATTGGGGGATATAATTGTAAAATGCATCGGCTTCTCTAGGTTGGTTCCCAACAAGAAGGTCGAAATCGTCACCCGACTCAAAAATCGCTAGCGGAATAGAGTCGCCGGGCGCGAATCGGATTACGGGCTTATCTTGGCTCGTGTCTGAAGGATATACGATATTGCCGGCAAGAGGAAAGTAGTGCTCGAGAACTCGAGCTAGCGAGTGCTTGAGCTTGGGTACGAGGTTGTCCAAAAACTCGGGTTTCGAGCAAGAAAGCTCGTAAAAGAGGAGGCGGCGAATGGGGTGGAAATGCAGCCAAAAAATGTCTTGGAAAGTGAGCGGCAGAGAACGCTCGGCTGCAGAGTCGGGCGGTGGCCCGACTCGGCAACTTTCAATAAGGGCAGTCATATTTTCTCCACAGAATTGCAAAAAGATATGAGGGTGTGTATAGTTTTATAAGTATGAGATGACATTAATATAGCAAAGGGTGTGTGTTAGTTCATTGGTCTCCTTTGATTTACAGAATCTCTTTAGAGTTGATTGGGCACATGATTTGGGATATGGTAGTCAAATTATTTCTAGAAGGTCAAGAATTTGGGCTGCAACTGGTAATAAAAAAAATCGAGAAATACATTGGAAAAAATATAATATAAATTTGGGTAAAATACTTTTTCCCATCCGAACTATCACGGTTTTGGTGCATCACCATATAAACTATTTTTTGTTACAAACCACCATATGAACTATACGGATTTGTCAATGTGCCCCCTAAACCGGATATAAAAGTGGTTTAGGGGGCACATTGACAAACCCGTGATAGTTCATATGGTGATTTGTAAAATTATTGAGGGGGCACATATGGTGACCAAACAGCTTTTTCAGTCAAAACACTTTTATATCTGGTTTAGGGAGAACATTGACAAACCCGTATAGTTCATATGGTGGTTTGTAACAAAAAATAGTTTATATAGTGATGCGCCAAAACCGTGATAGTTCGGATGGAAAAAAAAGTATTTTACCCTATAAATTTTGAAAGAAAAAAAGATAATGAGGTACTATGAATATAAAATAAAATTTAAAATTGCATAAAATATTAATTAATAGTAATTGTTGATAAAAAAAAATATGTGCAAGAAAGAAATTTAATTGCAATAATTATACGCTATTAAAATTATAAAAATATACAAAAAAAAATAAATAAATATGGCACTATATTGTATTAATATTTTCTACATAAACAGGAAATGCTCATTTTTCAATTATTCTTAGAGATTTTGATTTGGAATTTTGAATGAATATATTTTCATAATATTTTGCTCATGTCTAAAATAGGTGGATGATAATCGATTCTCTCTCCTTAAGACCATCTTTATCTTCAACTCAACCCAACTCAACCTAATAATTAAAAATTATTTCTCTCAAGTGCTATGGGACATTTTTCGAGGGCTAATGTTGGTGTGGGAGCTCGGATTCCGACAAGTGATAGCTGAAGTTAACAGTCAAAGTGTGTTGAGAATGATCTTAGGGCCACAGAGTGAACCTGCGGCCAACGATTCCCTAGTCATAGTGATTAAGGGTTTGATGAGCAGAGAATGGACCGTGCGAATTCTTCATGTGCACCGGGAAGCCAATTTTGCAGCTGACCAGATGGCTAAACTAGCGGCTGATTCTCCACTTGGACTACACAGGGTGCAAATGTCTCCAAAAGAGTTGGAGCCTTGGATCGACCACGACATTAGTGGGGCGACTTACCCACGTCGCATTCTAGTTTCGTAATTCCTGGGGCCTAGCCCCGTCTATGTACCAAAAAAAAAAAATTATTTCTCTCTCATCCACATATACAACTCAATCTTCCAACTTAATTAATCATTATCCCCAATCAATTCAACCAAAATATTTATTTTAATTTAATTTATTTAAAAATTATAATTTTATTTTAAAATATATTTAGTAGAGAATGAAAAAATATAAATTTAATATATTTTTTATTTTTTTTAAATAAAAAAAATACACTTATCCAATCAAAATGAGATTAATATTCCATTTTCAGGTCGCGACGCTGAATATTAACGACCTTTTCTTTTTTTTTTCATTTTTTTTTTTTTTTTTTTTTTTAATTGGTGACCCTCACCATTAAAGGTAGTCTGGTAAAAGTCTCAATCCATCATGTGCCCTGCCCTAAATTTTGGTCGCAAATGCAATAATAAATTGCAAGGTATCACTGACTCGTTTTTCAAAATCGTTTTCAATCATTTTCATGGAATATTTATAGTAAGTAAAATTTGAATGTGCTACGAACAAATAAATACATACAATAATGCTAAGAAGTCAATTGTTGGTTCCGTTACGGAGCCAACAACTAATGAGACAACTCCATGTGGGGCTGTTCCACATGGCTCCAATGTGGGACAGCTCCACATGGAGCTGTCCTATTGATTGTTGGCTCCGTAATGGAGTCAACAATTGGCTCATTAGCATTCCTGTAAATACATATATGAGAAAGATTATTAGATACATATATGAGAAAGATTATTATTGGGGGTGTCTATATGTACACCCCCTCAAGTGTAAAAAAGGGGTGTACATATAGCACTTTTCTTTGTGTAATTTATTAAAAGGGGGTGTACATATAGCATTGCCCTTATTATTTAGAGGGTGTATTCATTTGATATTTGTAAAGACTTTTTTAAATTTTAGAGATTGTAGTGTATTGAATTTAGATATTTTATAACTGTTATTTAAAATTTCTGGGTATTCATTTAAGATTTTAAAAAGTCTTACAAATTCCTGAGGTATTTAATTTATTTGAAACTATGATTTATTAAAACTTATCAAGATTTGCTGAAATTTCAAAAGAAAAAAAAAATGATACGAAATTTCACTCCAAAACCCACATCCACACTTTAGATATCATAAGATTCCTCCGAAATATGGAAATTATAAAAAGTCTCAAATCTTAAAAATTCTCAAAATGTCACTAGAAATTCTAAACGAATACACTACCTTAATATCTTCGACAATAACTAAACCTTGATGTTTTGAAATAATCCTATTTATCTTAATAAAATTGTTGAAGTCTGAAAAATTTGTTCTTTAATCAGTATTTGTTTTTTTTTCAATATACCTTTATTTTTTTTAAGAAAATTAGAAAATCATTCTCTATCTTCTTTAATCAGTATTTGTTTTTTTTTTTCAATATACCTTTATTTTTTTTTAAGAAAATTAGAAAATCATTCTCTAAGGGCGTGCTTGAATACAAATATATCCGCTCAAAACAAGTCTTTTTGGTTAACAAGGGTTAATTTTGAAAAAAAATTGTTATGGTTAGTTGATAGTGGGATTTTAAGTTTATATTAAAATAAATTGCCTAATGTAAACTAAGTAAAGTTGATTTGATTTAAAAGTATGAAAAAGATGATGTGAAGTGATGGTTAGTTAAAATTATGTGAGGTGATGAATAATGAATTAAAGTTGATGTGATGTGTAATAAATGGTTAGTTGGTATTATTTAATTATATTGATAATATTGAAAATAGTCGGGCTGTAACACCCCGTCTTCTATTTATAGAATTATAAAAATCAAAATTAATTTTTCTTTTATTTCCAAAAATATCTCGTAACCCTTCTGCTTCCGAAATTCAAAACTTGTGGGAGTGCTACTTCTAAAAACTTTGATACTGAAATCTTTATGAAACTTGCGCAAAAACATGCAACTAAAAAAAACTTATCCATTCATGAATAAATGTGTCATGAAAATTATGGAACTTAGCATGTATAGTCATAAGTAAAATAATTTTTGCTTAAGTCTGAAATAAGTGGAAAAAAAGGTTTGCAAACATCTTCATAATAACATAGAGTTTTTCAAAAATGTCCTCAAGCTTTTGACCACCACCACATGACCACTCACGCTCCACGCTGGACCCCATCACCTAAAAAAAAGTGGAGGCGTGAGCAAAACCACTATACTCCGCAGAAATTGGTACGCAATACACATCACAAACAATAATATATCATGACATTAGCATTGGCAGCATACATATAAATAAATCTGATCTGTGAGACTACCGGACTCTCCGGTATCATATGCATACTATGGGAGTCTCCTCCCCATAAACCTAGGATCCTCTAGGCGACTAATCCGATTTAGCACGCTCACCTTCATCGAACACTTAGATGGAATTTAAAGCACGCTCACCCCCATCTAAGTAATTTATCTATGCACATACCTCAGACATGCTGGAACTGAAAGGCGTAACTGGCGGAGGCTCGACTCTCCGGAAGCTACAAAACAATATTTTAAGCACAAAGTTCTAAGTACTCTGTTGGACTTTAAATACTGGTTCTCATATAAATATGTTTTAACTCAATTATGCAATTGCTTGAGTTCTTAGCGGAAAACATTTTAAATTAAAGTGAAGGTGTCCACAACCACTTATAAGACATGCTTCGTTCTCCTTCACAACCGATGGGGGATACTACATAATGTAATTAAAGTGGCCGTGTTGGATCATTTACAGGGATAGTATCATTATTGAAATTATCTGTAACACTCCGCCTAGACTTACTAAAATCAGAATAAATTTTTCGCGCTATAAATGGGAAGCACTGCTTTAATTTTCGGAAACTCATATTAATTTTTCGAAAATACTGTAACTTTAAAACACGGGGTGCTACTCAACCTTAATCTTATATCTTTATCTCTTTAATCTAACATGCATGTGACCAAGTGAATTCATTCTAGAATTAAGGCCATGAATAATACCGGATAAAACATGCATATGCTAAAAATCTGACATAATCTGACATCTGAAATAATAGTATGAAATTCTAGATATTGAAATACTGTAGTCTGAAATACTAAGTGCGGAAGCAAATGCAAGCATGCATGAACAAAGCATAATAACTCCAACGTTTTCAAATATACATGACATGTTTACTGAAAATATCCTCGCTATGACCACCACCACATCATCAGCTCACGCTCTACGCTCGACACCATCACCTGAAAAATGGTTAGTGGTGGGCGTGAGCATAAATAATCCACGTGCTCCGCCGGAACCGGCACTGGAATATACAGCTAATATAATAAATATCATGACATCGGCATATATGCAAGTACTTACTGAATCGGCAGAAACGATATGATGATGAACATTTTACTAACTGATTAAACATTCATCCAATAAATACTTAAATCGGCAAACTATCTATAGCTGCTACTTAACTGTCTGCCTACAATTGTTGCTCGACTAGATGATTATAACTGATGCTCAGCTGACTAACTATAATGGCTGCTCGACTGGCTAACTATAATTGCTGCTCAACTAACTAACTATAAATGACTGCTCAACTGACTAACTATAATTGCTGTTCAACTGACTTACTATAATGGCTGCTCAACTGACTAC